GGTCGAATGCGAAAACCACACAGTGTATACTTTAGAGAGAATTTATTTCAGTCGAAACTGCTTGGCAATAATATGTCAGTGCCTTTGAAGTAAAATGTAATGAGTTTGAACAAAACGATGCAGCCTTTTATTCGTATGACGGTCTTGGGTCGGATTCACTGATTCTTAAATCTCGGCAAGCTGTCAAAACCGTAACTTTGCAGTCTCTTTCTTAGGCCTGTCTATACCCTCTGCGTTCAACACATTGTGTGTATGCTCGCTTTAAAGGACAGAGAAGAGAATAGGACATCGCCGAGGCTTTCCTGTACTTGCAATGTTTTTTAATTTGTTAGCATTCTGTCTACTCGTCTGTAGTTTGATAGCCCAGAAAAAATATGATAGGCTTACGATTTAAAATTGAGAATTCTAGTTTCATTGAGATTAAAATAATAGAATCCATGTTGTATGTATGTAAGAGTCACTCTGTAGAAGTTTACCCCACACACTAGGTCTTATGACCGCAAGTCACACCCCAACTACAAGACTACCAACTCTACTTAATTGACTTCGTTCCTTACATTGTTATGGCATAGGAAAGGAGTATGGGCGTTGTCCCTACCTCATAAACAACTTCACGAACACATTCATCCACGCAAGTGCAACGTTTTTCCCAGTGCCAACAGTTGGCTGTTCAGATAAACAAATCAATAGTATGTTGAAAATACAGTGTATCGGTTGGGTGATCACGTTGTACTTTTTGCGACTCGTGTTACAAATTATTTTTCATTGGGCTCACCGTTAGCTCAGGAGGTGCATGGCGTTTCATGCTGGATGGGCCGTTCTGAACTTGGGTAGTTTTGAGGAGTCTTCAAGGCTCTCCACTCTCCACCCATTAGGCTCAGTCCTATCGGAGATTGACTTTAAATTCGGAGGTCACGCCTCATAAATATTCTAATTGTGTTGAGAGAGGGGTTAAACCTATACAGTTTCGCAAATTTTCGTAATTGTTCATGCAGCTGAGACAGTACACTGGTTAAGTGTTTTACGGCGCTCGGAACTGCATAAGGTCATGAGCGCGCGGGACACACTAAACATTTTCAGTTGGTAGAAAATTTTGAATTTTGCCCGGGTGGCCGCCGAAGCCTACTCTTATCGATTTTAGACCACTAAGGGATCTTTAACGTGCGCAACTTGCACGCGAGACCTTCGAGATTTTTTTCCTTTGTCCGAAAAGGCTAGATGTAGATCTTTCCTACCAGAAGATCAGGGGTGTGGCTGAAAGACAGCAGTAAGAAGGAGCCAAGGAGTAGCAGTAGAATGGCTGCAGAAATAGACCGGAGCCCAGAGGAGGGGGCAAAGGAGGGGAGGGGTGAGGGCAGAAAGGGGAGACGAAAGCAGACAACAGAACATTGCTAGAGAGCAGGAAAGGACGTGAAAGGAGACAACTTTTCGAGACGAAAATTTTTCGGTCGCTACCTGGATTCGCGCCCGGAACCTTCAAATGAGAGGCGAACACCTTAACCTCTAGGCCACGAGAGCCCCCATAGAACACTTTTAGGGTACGGCCACGCTGAAGGTTGTACGGTACCACGATCTTTACTGAAGGACTGGCGATTAAAGTTAAATGGGGGCACAGCAAATTACTCTACTTTGAGTAAAGAGACGCACATCAAAACTGTCACGTCGTGCAGGAAAAAGGCAAAATGGGTAGACAACGGATGAAAAAGAAAAGAAGGACTTTTCAGTGGTTGCCAAACTGGGTAACGTAAACAGACTGATCTGTTCAGCTGGATAGTGTATTCGTTTCATTATGTTCGGAAGGTTCACCACTTCGGGTGGGGTGCGGTGGGGTAGGAAGGGAAAAAGGGGGAATGAGGCGGGCCGGGGGGGGGGGATTGCTTCCCATGCGGTAGCCAATATGTAATGGCTCTTCTTCGTTTTTACACGCAGAACACATGCGGTCTATTCCCGTGTAGGGGAGTTTTTATTATTAATAAAATGTTTCGAGTATCTCTGCCTATCTGCTGATATGCTGTATTTCACTGAGCCTATGTTGGCCCTGACAGTTACAGCCTGTAACTTAGTAAATTATCTAAATTATGTCGATGTGAGCCTTTGACAGCCTTTACAATGAATCAGCCATACGGTGAGTTTTATTGGCCAGTGTTAATGTTAAGCATTGCCGCACGGTACCCAGTGTGAGATCTGTATCGCTGAGTGACGGTCGGAGCATCCGGGTATCATTAATTGTACAGGTCATGGTCGTCGGTCAGATCGTTTCATCAATAATGTGGCCGCAAAAGTTGAGTTTTGAAGATCTGAATTTCTAATGTACTGCATTTTTCGAGTTGTACACCACCATGAGTACGACATGTTCTATCATGTACATTGGGAATACATTTCATCTTCTACAGACAGACTCTCTTCTGATGGTTCAACAAACTGACAGACAAACAAACAAACAAGCAAGCAAACAAACAAACAAAAAACAAAACAAAGACAAACAAACAAAAAAGATATATGTATTGGTAGTTAGAAGGTGCCATTAGTGGAAACAACACTTTTCTCCCTTTTGTCTCTGTTGTTTCTGTCGGGCGGTCTGTCTTACTTTTCCCCAGCACTAAGTGACGTTTACAGCGTCGACGTGCTTCTTTTTACTCAAACATCAAACACAACAATATGCCTTGAATGACTAATTTTATTGATCATAGCTCAAACGTCATTGCAGATGAAAATTATGAATATAATGGCCTCAAGTTTCACGTTTTGATGCTATAATATTATGAACTCGGGTCACTCCTGCTGTCATGTGTATCTAACTGTGACTATATTCAACTGTGTATGTGTTTGTACGTTTGTGTGTGCGTATGTTTCTGTATGTACATGTATATTTATGTGAATACGTTTGAATTAATTATGATAATGATGATGATTGTGTATGTGTGTGTGTGTTTGCATGTATATGTGTGTGTGTGTGTGTGTGTGTGTGTGTGCGTGTG